TTTACAAAACTTTTCCTTGTTTAATCTAAGCGCTGAATACCTATGATTTTCTAAACTATGGAGATATCAGCAGTATTAATCATTACTATTAGAGCTCTTGGGGAGAACATGCTCTCATAAATATTATACAAGGTATTGTTATTAGCAGTGGAGTGATTAGTTATAAAAGCATTTAATTAAAAATTTAAGCCAGCAGTTGAAGAAAACATTTTATCAGTTTTTGGAAATAGAATGGACACAGATAAAACCTCAAGGCGAGATGAAAAAAGTTAATGTTTTGGCTGAACACAGTTTGGAAGCAAGATTTAGAGGATGCATTTGTCCTTGAGGCCCAAGGGTAACATTATGACTTGGGCAAGCTAGAAAAGATGGGCAAGGACTGGGATTAGGATGGGACATTTTCTTTCTCTAGGTCTTGCATTTGTACGAAATGGGGAACCTGTAAGGGCCTGAAAGTAGTGGCCGTGCTGTTGGATCAAAACTAGTAGTTCTCTCAGGTTCTACACGAGTCAGCTGAACTCATTGAAATCCTAACAAGGACAAAATGTATTTCACAGTTTCTTTTTAGGAGCAGTTAATTTTTCCTTACCTTGGCTGGGGTTTTGAGCCTCTCAACATAATAGGCAGCTTCTCTCCTAGCCTCTGCTTATGAATCAGAACATAACCTAAATAACATTTGTTTTATGGACAGTTTTCTCATGAAATATCTCGGAGCGTAGTCAATTTGATTGTCCCCGCATTCAGCAAAGAAGCAACAAATCAATGAGGCTGGCCTTGGAGGGAGCTGAGTCAAAGGGAGAGGAGGATGGCTGGGAGCAGGTGCCCATCCAGGCTGCACCTGGCCACGTGGCAGGAGGACAGCCTGGAGGAGAAGGTTTTGGCTTCTCCTTTCCCCATTCCCTTGATCAGCTTGGATCTGACCATTTGTTGCATTAACAAAGAAGTAAGCAAGTTAGAGTTTTTCCTCTTATTTCCAATTTAGGCTTTGAAAAACACTAGATTTTAAAAGTTCTTTGGGGGGCAGGAATATGTCATTCACTATATAACCCCCTTAACTATTAACATCCTTGGTATGTAGTAGGTGGTTTCTTTTTAAGTATAAGTATCTTAAGTATTTCAAGATAAACACTGTTTTTATGTTCTAGAATTTAATGTAACACACAAGCAGATTCCGAGCAAATGAAGCTTAAGTGGCAAAGGTAATCCGATCTTCTCTTTATATCTTGTCCAGATGTTGTCACCTGGGGTAGGAGGTGGGAGAATGTTAACTCTCCATCATCCACAAGTACCTTCTGTAGCATAAGAACTTTCTTTGGTAGTCCTCGTTAACCTTGTCGCTGGTCAGGTGGTGGAGTCCAACTGAAATGGAGATGGGGCCTCACCAAGAGCGTGAGTCCTGCTTTCCCATGTGTCTGGCTAAGTCTCTCTTACAGAACCAGATGATTATGGTGGAGCATTATGGTTCTCATTTTGTATTTTTCCTTTTATATCCTTATGAATAAGTGGTAACTGGCAACATAACACCTTGAAGGCTATTGTTCTATTAATTCAATAATTATGGTATTCCCTTACTGTTTGCCTTCCTTCTTTGGGGGAAAGCATACAATTATTTTTAAAAACTGGGGTAAATAAGGATTGTGGTTCACTACCCTGTTTTCTCTGAGGTTACTGAGTCTCCCATATTAGACTTTTGAAATTGCATTTTCTTGTGTGTCTCCTTGATAAGACTTTTTGTGTGTGTATCACTCATAGTACCATGCTCTCTGCTGGGCATGCTAAGTAGTTCCTTGATGTGAACACACACATCTTTTACATTTCTCATAGCTGACTACATCTTAAAATTGATGGAAACATTTAATATGGCATTTCCCTCCCCAAAAGCTGTTATTTAATCAAACTAAAGGTCATTTTTATAATTTATAGTATCTTAGAATACATGAAACGTAGTGGTGTTTTAGTTATCTGTAGCTATGTAACAAATAACAATAAAGAAAACTTTTAAAAGTAATAATTTATTACCTCTTGCAGTTTCTGTGAATCAGGAATTCTCTTAGGGACAATAGGGAGGCCTTGTCTCTGTTCCATGCTGTCTGGAGCCTCAGCTGGAAGACCTGTAGCCTCCAAGTTAGAATCGTCTGAAGGCTGACCCCCAGGTGAGCTTTGCAGGGGCTATTAGTTGACATGGGACTATTCCATGAAGAGACAAGTGAAAATATTTATTCTTTTTCTTACGAACAAAAGAACTGTCAAACTCATAAGGGTTTTGGAAGGATGAAACCATTTGACATTTTCTGAGATGGGCTGAACTTGGGCTCTGATCTCAGGGAGTTTGGAGATCAGCACTTAGGAGGCTGACCTGATATTTTTTTCAATGGAATGGGCAGCATTATAGTTAAGCCTGTATTTTGCATCAGGGTCTACTCTAAGCATGTCAAACTCAAAGGCTAACATGGGCCAAATAAACAAAGTTTAAGTTTATGTGGGCCACAAGAAAACCAAAAGCTTTAATTTTCATAGAAATGTAGGTGTATTTCAATAGAGACATGCTGATACAAAGGGCTAAAATAAATGAGTAATGGTTAACATAAAGTAATAGAAAATTTTAATAAAGATTAATATTTTTTCTTGAATACTAACTTACCAGACACTGAATAACTGCACAAATTAATAAGCATAACACAAATAAACCTATTTTTCTTGTTCTCTGAAAGTGAAATATTTCCTGTTGTGTACACCAAACAAGTCAGTCCAAGACTAATGATGTGGCAATTGGCTGCTAAAATATTCTCTGCTGGTCTTAGTGAGTAGAAATGGAACTTCTGCATGTAAGGCACATAAGGGAAATGAATGCAACACCATTTTAGTCATCAGTCATTAGTGAATGTTGTAGTTTGTTATTAATAATTATGTATCACAGGATATTGTAAAAAAGTTATGAAATTTTTATTAAAATATTTCTTAGATACTGTTATATTGGCTGGGCCATAAAAATACTCATTGTGAGCCATATGTGGCCCGCAAGTTTGACATGCTTATTCTACTCTCTTGATTGGTATTCAGGATGACTTATATCAAACTCCTTACTACTTCTTTCCCACCTCTCCATGCCATGTCGAAGTTTTAAACTCTAGGTGGGCAGAAAAAGCATTGCTGACAATGCCATTTATTTCCTCCTTTTGAATCAGGGACTTGGCTTGTCAGCTGTCTGCAAATACTCCTTATCCACCCAGGCCGGAGAAATGGTTCTGTTTCTGCAATGATTTGATATCTCAGCCTTGAGTAGATTAGGCAGCACTTTCTCTAAAGTAAATTGTAAAATCCAGAGAAGTCCAGGAGTTTGTGGCCTCTTACCCAGCTAAACACTTTGTGGGTTCAAAGGATTAGATAAAATATTGTTCTTGAAAATAAAGAAAAACAAAAGCAAACAAATAACCCAAAAGGGTAAAGTTTTAATAAAATGGTAATTTTTTTCTTAAAACATTTTAGAGATTAAGGGTCATTTCTTTAGGCCTTCATGTATTGAGGCCTCTAAATACGATGTTTAAAATAATATCATTATTTGTATAGAAACCTGGAATAAGAATTCCACCACAAAAATAGGTTTGCTTTTGCTGAACTTATTCTTAACACTGTTGCAGAAATTTGTGCTGCATGGAGATTTTTATAAAAGGAATATTATAATGAAGAGCTCCCATCGACTGTATGCCTCCCGTTGGCAGGCACTGAAAGAGGTTGAATAAGGTCTTGTTCAATGACCTTATGAGCTTGGAGCATTATTCCCATTTTACAGACAAGGAAACTGAGTTCTACTTAGCAAGTAGCAAGCAGAACTTATTTCACTTAAACTGTTGTTTAGGGCAACGTGGCCAGCATTTGGGTAGCTATAGAAATTTTCACAGCAGCTGCAAAGTCTAGGGAGCTAGTGTCTACTTTGATGTGAAATGTCCTCTTGCCTGAAGCTAGGGCTTTAGAAAAATTGAATTAAAGAAAGGATCTTGGCAGGCCTACTTCATTGCTTTTTCTCAGCTCTGCTCCACATAACCCCCAATTTAGCCCTCTTATAGGAAGGCAAATCGAATTTTGTTGTAGAAGCTTGTGATGACTGTTTGGAAAATAGCTCCACCAAATTATTCTAGTATTTCAGAAAATGACTTCTGAGACACCTGACATACTGGCACGAGTACTGACTCACCCACAACCTAATAGAGCTTGCCCTATAGTGCCCCCCTGCACTGTCAGACCAGATACATGGTGCCACTTGAATATTTTGACTGCAAGATTATAGCCACCAGATTCTGAATTTGTCACTGGTTTTGGCTTTAGTATTTCATTTATTAGGTAAAGAGAGGCTACTTTATTTGTCAGAGGTTTGACATGGTTCAAAGACTATAGTGGTTCACCTGCTGAACATATACAAATTTTTCTTTTTTGGTTTGTGTGTCCTTGTGTTGAATCCAGATTCATATTAAGCTTGGGTGTCTTTATGATATTCTCTAGAGAATTTAGCATTATGGTTTCTTTCCTAAATTAGTAGATTGCAAAATAAAATAACCAATGTAGCAATTTCTTTGGATGCAGTGTAGCTCATGGCAATAGTGTGTGTGTGTGTGTGTGTGTGTGTGTGTGTGTGGTGTGAACATTCATACATGTTTTGTTTTTGCAAAAATGATCATATCCTATAAGTACTATTCTATAAATTATATTTTCAGACTTATTGATTAAATATGCTTTTAAAATGTCATTTTAATGTGGTATAACTATATCTTTTGAAATGAGGCTATTTTATTGTTATATTTTTCTTCTATTATCTTGCAGCAACTTACTGATAGAAAGAGGCTTTTTAAATTTGAGGTCACTTACTAGTCCCCTGCCCCCACTACAATTTGGTAGCACGTGTTGTGTATTGCTGCTCCGCTGCTCGGAGACCCACCCCAGCCTAGGAACGCTGTGAAACTGATGGCTGCTGAAAGCTCATCTACTTCTGCTGTTTCTTCTTACAGGACACAGAGCATGCAGCCCCCAGCCCGTCGGAGTGTCGGGGGAGAGCAGGAACGCCAGCTCATGAGAGTCCACAAAACCACACATTCAGAGGCCAAGAAGCAGTGTGGCTTCAACCAAGGTGGGCCCTTTGGTGTCAGAAGTCCCCCTGTGCCGGGGGTTTCTTCCTGTATGCTTGCCACCTCCACAGTAGGACCTAGGCTTCCTGACTTTTGTTGGCAATTTCTTATGGTCTGTAAAAGTTCCTTAGGAGGCTGGGAGTATCACTGATTCTGAGTTTAAGAGAAATGTAAATAACCTACTTTCTCTGCCTGCGGTTTGAAGATTACCAGCCTTAAGACCCAGAGAGGAATGGAGCTAGTCCTGCCCTTTGGAGGGAAGCCATGATTAGGCTTGCCTCTGTAATAATGACAGAGATGACAGTATAGATGGCAAGCCAATTGCTTTTCACGGGTTACATCATATAGTCTTCAGCCCTTACTCATAGCCCCATTTCACAGAGGAGGAGCCTGAGGCTGGCAAATTAAGGTATTGGCCTGTTGTTGCACAAGTGAAAAGAGCTGAACCAGAATTTGAACCGACAAATGTCTAATTATGGCATAGCAGGTGTGGCTTCTGTGCTGATCCGAGTGGTGTCCATAGGCACCAGCACTTCTGCGAGACCTGCTGGACTGAGGGCAGGGACGTGGGTAGAAAGCTGTCTACAGCAAGGTTGGCACCATATTCTGATGGGAGCTCGGCATTGCAGCTGTCTGTGGAACATATCTTCTGGAAGTAAACAGAATAAAGAATTCAACCACCAGTGTGTCAGCTGTCTTTGTGGGATCTTGTGTACGGTGTAATCATAGCCCTGACTCAGTGGAAAGGGAGTTCGGTGCTTCTGAGCATGACCTTTAGAAATTTTTTTCCTAAGGTTTCAGAGTCTAAATGAATCAACAATAACAGAGAAGATTGTGCAATGTGATTGTGCTTTTAAATATCCAGCATACTAAATTTAGAATCATAGAACCCCAAAGAGTTAGAGGGTGCCCCAAAGTAAGATGATCCAGAATCCAGTTGGATTCACAGGCACCTTTCATCACCCTCTTCACAAGTTGCCATCTCTTGTCTGTTTATTCTTACTTGACCTTAGGCCAGGTAAGACTCAGCCTTGTCATTTTTCCACTGATGAGGACATTCTCTGTCCTATTTAAGGCATTATTGTAATAGAGCTGTTTGGAGCTGACTGGGGCCAGTTTAGGCAGTAATCCTGTCTCCACCCTGCCTCCCCCCACCAACCAGACTGGTGACTCTCTCAGCCTGAATAAAGACAACTATATTCACATACATATTTTTAAAAAATATATATTTTATTGATTTAGAGAAGAAGAGAGAGGGATAGAGAGTTAGAAACATCAATGATGAGAGAGAATCATCTATCAGCTGCCTCTTGCACACCCCCACTGGGGATGTGCCCGCAACCAAGGTACATGCCCTTGATCAGAATCGAACCCAGGACCTTTCAGTCCACAGGCCGATGCTTTTTCCACTGAGCCAAACCGGTCTCGGCTCACATACATATTTCAAAAAAGTAAAAAATAATAATAATAAAAGGCAAAAAAAAATCCACTAAATAATTTTTATTTGTGTATAGAATTATGATAGCCCTTTGGAGTGGATATTCCACAGAAGCTGATGGGAGAAAATAGTATTAGCAATTAACCTTTTCAAACTTAAAATTACTTTAGCCCTGGCTGGTGTTGCTAAGTGGTCAGAGCATTGGCCTGCTCACCAAAGGGTTGAAGGTTTGATTTCCTCCTGGTCAAGGACACATACTTGGGTTGCAGGTTCAATCCCTGTCCTGGTTATGGCAAGCCTGGGAAGCAACCAATTGATATTTCTCACATTCATGTTTCTTTCTCACTCCCTCCTTCCCTCTCCTGCTCTCTCACTCTTCCCTCCCCATTCCTTCCACTCTCTTTAAAAATAAAAGGAAAAAGTATTCTCTGGTGAGGATAAATAACAACAAAAGTTAATGAAAATAAAACACACTGTATATTTCATATACAGTGAGGGAGGTAAAAAGTGATATTACTGTTATCACTCTTACAGAGGGCAAGTCAGATATTTAATAGGATTAAGTGATAGGTATCATTCATGTATGAGCAGTAAGACTAAGAGTATTGAATTAGGACCCCCAGATAAGGAAACACAGAGGGAAGTAACTCTTACTTTGAGGGTAGGAAAATAAGTTTTATTCAGATTTGCAAAGATGTATGGCACCTTTCTTCAGGAAAAAAGAGATGTGCGCGCGCGTGCGCGCGCGCACACACACACACACACACACACACACACACACACACTAGTTTTGTATAAAATTTAAGAGGTCACAGAGCTCTGCCGCACGCCAGGGAAAGGAACCAGATATAAGGTTATCGGGCAGGCTTCCTCAGAGTAAGTCTGGCTTGTCTTCCCAACAGACTGTCTACTTCTTGCAAAGACAGATCAGGTCTCTCTTCCTCTTTACCTAAGTAAATGTCCACAAGACCTTAAAGACCTGTTGATTTTGTCTGCTTTTTCCTCTTTAGCTTCCACGCTGTACTTTCACAGGGTCTAGCTGTATTCCAGGAATTCCGTGCCCCAGGTTTGGCAATCCCAAGGTCTGGGGTCAAGCTGTAGATCAGGGGCCTTGTAGGGCTAGTATTTAAACCGGGCTGGTAACCTTCAAACTACAGTTATTTTTTACAATCATGGTGGCATCACCTGGGGACATTCTAATGGTACTTAAAAACATCTCAAAATATGACAGGGATTGTGAAACTTGATGAACTGTTGAAATGAGATCTGAGGCTAAAAACAACTTTGAGTCAGGTAGCTCACATTCCTGATAACCTTCGTCTTCCGTTTTACGTCAGCATATGGTCAGGTTCAGACATATCATGCCCAATAAGATCTTGATAGAAACATGATACTGTAACAGGACACATAAGACTTAGGCCTGGCTCAGAATGAGGAAAGAAGCCTGGCTAAATCTCAGCAGGTGTGAAATGCCACCTTCTTGAAGATGGAGAGTGAATGTTAGTAGCAAAAAAACAATTTGAGAAAGGGAAGAAGCACATATTTTTGTAGAGATGAGCAGTCAGGGGAGTGACGAATGTCTCATGTGTCATGTAAGTGAGACTTAAAGGAGTTGTTTTTAGAGAATGAATCCATCCTTGTAGAAGTGAGATTTTGGAACCAATTGTGCTATGGTGTGGGCATTGATCTTTCCATGCCTGCCAACGAGAAATAGCTTCATACCTTCTTACAGCCTTTGTATGTTAAGCTCCTTCTAGCACAAGGAGCCTTTATCTCTGAGTGTAGATGAGCTTCAGGGAGGACTGTGAATATTTTTGCCAAAGTTTGAGTGTGTGTGTGTGTGTGTGTGTGTGTGTGTGTGTACACACTGTATTGGTTTTCAGAAGCTACTGTAACAAAATAAGCACAAACCTGTGGCTTAAAACAACACACATGTGTAATCTTACAGATTTATAGGATAGACATCTAACATGGGTCTCACTGGACTGAAAACCCAAGGGCTCAGCCGGCCTGCATTCTTTCTGCAGGCGCTAGGAGAGAATTATACCATTTTCTTGCCTTTCCCAGTTACTAACGGCTGCCTACATTTCTTGGTTCAGGAATTCTTCTCCATTTTTAGAAGCTAGCAACATAGTATCTCTCTGAGTATGTCTGGGAAAGATTTTCTGATTTTAATGACTCGTGATTGGGCCGACTCAGATAATCCATGATAATCTCCACATCTCCAGGTCTTTACTTAACCATATTTATAAAACTATTTTTTAAAAAAGTCCTTACCCAAGGATATTCCCCCCCCCCCCCCAATGATTTCTAGAGAGAGTGGAAGGGGGGGGGGGTCAGAGAGAGAGAGAAAGAAACATGCCTTCCCGCATGTGCTCCTCCGGAGCTGGGAAATTTGTAACTGAGGTACGTGCCCTTGACTAGAAAATCAAACCCGAGACCCTTTAGTCTGTAGGCTGATGCTCTAACTACTGAGCAAAACTGACCAGAGTTGTAAAACCTCTTTTGTCATGTAAGGTAATGTAGGAAGAGGGCAAGGGACGAGGACATGGAAATCTTTGGGGGACCATTATTCTACCAACTGTATTACTCTTGCAGGAAAAACTCTAAAAGTACTTATCAGAATCTCCTATGGTATTCATGATCCCCAAAAAGGTTTGAAATGACTGTCTGAATCTCTGCTCCTTCAAGTCTGCTTCCTATTCTGAATTCCAACAGAGCCAACCTCACATGTCAATGTGGCCCCCTCTGACCTCTTTCTTTCCATCCCTCCTACTTGCCATTCCCTTCTCATCCCTATGTTACCTTCCTTGGCAGTTCAGTGCCCACCTCAGAGGTCTCAAATTTGGAGTCCTGTCGGTTTATCTAGGGTGGAAATACCTGTATATTTGGCTTGTAAAGTATTTTAACATCAGGTTTTACAGATCTTTGGCATTTTTTTGAAAAATCTGAAGATGGGATGACCCAGAGCCTCCATTCCTACAAAGCAACAAGTAGCTGAAACCGAGAAGCTGAACTATATTTTTTCACAATTTCCACCCATATCTCCCCATTTCTGTATGCTCTTTGCCTGAAGTCCTACAGGTATTTGATTTATAATGCCTACTTCAATAGGCATTATATTCCCAGCAACTGCTCATCCTACTGTCCTCTGGGGACTCCAGCAGATTGGAGCTAACCAATAAGGTGATGGCTGATACAGTCTTAATGCCTTCTTTCCCAAGATGGCGTGTATATATTTTAACTTGGATTTTCAGGGCATCTTAGTGGAGAGGCTGTATATTGCACTCCTCTGGCATGCTCCTCAGTACCTGGAGCTTCTCAAAACATGTGAAATTATAGAAGGGCATTTAGTGAGAACAAGAGTGAAACCTCAGTAATCATTTAATACAACCTTCTCATTTTTCTAGTGTGATACCCATTGTGGCTGTCATTTGCTGAAGCCCTCACTCCCTTTCTAACAGAACCAAGACAAGCACCATCACTCTGTGTAGAGCAGCCACTGAAAGAATACGTAGCAGTTTGATTGATTTTTTATAGCTAAAGCCAGTGCCAATCCCGTGA